TACATATATAAAGGATCACATACATTTCCTGTCCTTCAGAAGGATACTTGTCACTACATCCATCGCACGACCAAATTCAATGTTGAATTTTAGTACTTCTTTTAATTCATATCTAGAGATAAGGGAAATTAAGTGAAAACTTTTGAAGTTGGGGTATGGTTCACAACAGTACCCTTACTGTCAGGGGTCGGTCGGAATTCAGATTTCAGACGTTTTTTTCCTTCCGAGTTCCGACTTCCGACTCTTGAGCCATTTCCGATTTCCGTCATCTTTGTCCTTTCCGACCGACCCCTGGTTACTGTATCTAATACTAAAACTTACTTTATTTTAGTAATTGACAATGAAATAGTTGTCACAAAAACCGAGATATTATGTGAGCTATTATGCTTTTCAGTTATGTACTCTGTTTTAACCTTAATCCCATGCCAAATAGTCGATGCCGGCTTTCCAAGTGAACAAAAACGTGTGTTATCTTTTTTTTCACAAAACTCTTTGCGTTTTCGTTCGCATTGAAGGGTGACATTGTTCTTTAAATTATAAATATTTAACAATAATTGAGGTTGATTAATCTGGCAGCATTTTAAACTAGGGTTGTAACCCCCGAAACCCTGACACTCCCGCCCCGTGCGGGCGAAGCCCAGACCCGAACTCCGAAGTCTATACACCGGCAAACAACAATCCCCGACATCCTCCGCCGAGCGGGCAAAGCCCCAACCAGAACACCGAAGTCAATACTCTGGCAAACCCTGACCCACGACTTCCAACTTCCACCCCCGGGAGGGCAATGACCGAGACCCAGCCGCCGAAGGCTATACCCCGGCAAACCCCGATCCCGACACTCCACCGAAGGCTCGTAGTGCTACCCTATTTAAAACGCTTATTTCCGATCTCGTGAATCGGGTCGCCTCATTCGCTGAAAAATACCTTTTTGGCTTCACGAAGTCGATATGGTATAGATGTAATAATTCCATTTTGCGTATTATTACCACTCAACTGGCTCGGGTAACAAATTAGCAGCCTAAATTTTATACAAAAATATCAATTTTGATTTACTCGTCACAAAGATAAAAATATGGTTTCTCGAAGACTAAACCATAAGATCCATGTTCTGCTTGTCCTGGGCGCATCATACATTGATCCGTATTTAAATATGGAATTGCATGGTATGTATCGAACATATCGGTTAAGAACACGCTTAATTAAATTATTATTAATTAAAAGTGTATAAAGAAGACTTGGTAATGGGCATGAATTTTGGTATCCGTATACGGATATTTACGGCGGATACAGACGGATATCCGCAGGCATTTTGAACTTAGCTGTGTCCATATCCGTATCCATTACCAAGCCTTGTATAAAGCAGGGTTTGGATCTCGAATATTTTAAAGCAAAGAATATTTAAAAAATCCTCATGATCTTCAAAAGACCACAAAAATCCGTGAATCCGCATTTTTAAAAATAATCCTAATCGCCCTATCAAAAAACCACAAAATGAGGAAAATCCGCACATATTAGTTTTCATCGGAACCGAAATTTTGAACAGAATCGGATCCAATTTGAGATCCGGATCTCGGAACCGGAACTTTTTTTCCGGCCCGAAACTAAAAAAGCCACCGGCAAGATTCGAAACTTCGACATGTTATAGTTACAGTCCTACATAATTTTAGTACCGTTCGTTTCAGCTCAACGAGCTCCTTTGAATGTGTTTTGCCCATATTCATGACTAAGGTTGTCGGCTTTACCAAATTCCTCGGTTAACCGAAACCGAATCGAAAATTTTCGGGGTTTCGATTCGGTTTGGATCCGACAACACTATTCATGACATTTTACAGCAATTTTAAGTGAATTTTAAAATAATATTTGCATACTATTCATTATCGTCTTTAATATGATCTTTAATATCCTCTTGCACGGCAAACGGATAAATTAATAAAATAATAATAAATTCTTTTAATAACATTTTATTAAAAATACCAGATTAATTTTAAAAAAATTTTACTAATTAAAAAATATTAATTAAATAATCGTTGTAAATAGGAAAAACCGTTAGTAATCATGTCAAATTTAAGCCAAATTACTAAATGTAAATAAATTCTAATTTTATAATGATGACTGTTTGAGTGATTTTTATATTTATATTATATTTTATTTAAATTAATGGTCATATGTACATAATAGTGTGGATTTTACGGGATAGAACCCGAAATCCTGCGTTTTGAGTGACAAAAGAGATTAATAGGATTTACGGGATTAATCAAGCTGGATCCCCTCCCGGTCGACCTTTCAGTGTTAATCCCGTTACGGAATCCTGAGAATACTCTTTAAGTACTACTCCTCTAATTAAGATACCCTTGTTATAATGTGGCATGAGTAGAATCCCATACATAATTTTAAGTGATCCCATCATGGTCGATATTTCAAAGTCAATCCCGGGAATGCAATCGTCAATCCCGGGAATATAATTTAATTGCCTGATGGATGTGTGAACTTTCAAAGTAATTTATGACTTGGTAATATGATACGATTTTTTCATTTAAAAAAGCATACATATTAGTGAGGGCTGACAGTATTTAAAAGAAATTTAAAGGTTTAATAAGGTTTTTGACTTTTCTTCAACTTCCTCCTTCTTTTTCTTTTTTTCAACAACTTCAACAGGTTGTATTGGTTTCTTTAATTGAAGTTCTATCTTTAAAGCATTCCTCTGATTAAAATCGTTTTTAAGCTGGCGGATTTGATAGAATAAAAATAAAAGCACCAATCCAATAATTATGAAAAAGAAGGCTGATATTATTCCATATCTGTAAATAAATTGAAAATGATCTCATTATCTAACCCCATTATCTCCCCTCAAAATAAACCCCATTACTTCTAAAATTATCTCCACTATTCCCTCTGTTATTTTTTCAAAAAGTTTATTCGTTTAGAGAGAACAAGTCAGTCCTAGGATTTTTCTGATAGGTTAAGGATATCTAAAAGTTCCTTGGGATGAACAACCCTATTAGAGGCGTCCAAAATTCTCCTTATTGAGACTTAACTCAAAGAATTCTCATGGGGTTTCTGTCTTGGGGTCCTGTCATGGCATTGAGTCTTGGAAAATTTTCAGTCTAGACCACTTTAAACCCCATTATCTTTAGTATGTATTTTCTCAGTTATTTTTTCAAAAAGTTCATTCGTTTAGAGGGAATCAGTCGGATTTTAGGATTTTTCTGATAGGCCAAGGATATTCAAAATTTTTTTGGAATAACCAACCCTATTAGAGACGTCCAGCGCTTTTGGTATTGAGTATTGACTCGTGACTTTCTTGGACTTTTTGGGATTGGTCTTGGGTACCGTCATGGTCTTTGAGATTGGATTTTCAAATCTCCAAACCTTATTATCTCCAAAAAATAAAACTCACAAAATATTAATGTTATTACTCTCATTTGTTATGTTATCCTCATAAGCTTCAATTTTATCAAAAATCGAAAAGCGGTGAGTGTAAAGCTGGCACAAATAGGCAATATAATTTTTTAATGCATCAAAATAGTTTTTATTCTTGTCAATACCAAATTTCTATTTAATAGTACAGGTAAAAATTTTTATTATTTTTTTACCCCTGTTTCTCCGAGGTGTTCATATACTTTTTTATCAATTTCCATAAACCAAGGTAACGACTGGCAATAGAGAAACCCATTTAAATTTAGTTCAATACCCACTAGATTTGACTCACATTTTGTTTCATCAACTGATGTCCATCTTTTAATAGGTGAGCATAAATCCTATATTATAAAAGAAGTCGTTTTATTGAATTTTATCTACCGTATTTTCTCGATTAATCCCCCTGATGAATTATTTTTCAGTCCTAACCCTAATTATACTCAAACTGCGCAGCAAAAAGTACGCAGCCTAATCTGTAGCTCCAAGCAGGCAGTGATCCTGCGATCAACAGTTAGTTATTGCTAAGCGATTCTTTCAGCAATTACAGGTCGTTACAATAGAGATGAACTGCCTAAATCACGCATAATCTGGTTATACTCAAATTGCTTTTATATGGAAAATATATCACTCAGCACCGAAATGTGTGACGCACCCCGAAGGCGCAACTGCCTTTTGTTTAAAACATGTGTGGTGAGCGAAAGCACCTAACAAGAATGTTTGGTTCCTCGAAGGTTAGAATCCTTCCCGGTGGATAAACTTTGGCTAAACATTTGTTAAAAATGGCCAGATGGTGGGAGAGCTAACTTAGCGATACCATTTATTCAAGATATCCTCGCTATAAATAACTAGAAGTTTTTCAGACCTTAAGGTTAAATTTTCTAGTAAGGTGTTCGACTTTATTTAAAAAAATTTAGTATTTTTTTAAGATTCGCATTTATTTGGTAAAATTTAAAGGTTTGATAAGGTTTTTGATTTTTCTTCAACTTCCTCCTCCTTTTTCTTCTCAATAACTTCAACCGGTTGTATAGGTGTCATTAATTGAAGTTCCATCTTTGGAGCATTCCTCTGCTTAAAATCATTTTTAAGCTGGCGTATTCGATAGAATAAAAATAGAAGCACCAAGCCAATAATTATGAAAAAGAAGGCTGATATTATTCCATATCTGCAATTAAATTGAAAATAACCCCATTATCTATCCTAAGATTTTTGTCAATTTTTTTATCTATCCTAAGATTTTGTCAATTTCCAAAAATTTTCTTGAAATAAACAACCCTATTAGAATGTCCAAAATTCTTTGTAGGAGTCTTAACTCGTGACTTTTCCTGAATCTTTCCGGTTTTTGGTCCAGCCTAGGTCTTGAGTCACAAAAAATTTTCGGTCTTAGACCTTTGAAACCCTATTTTCTACAAACCAAAAATTTTCTTGGAATAACCAACGCTATTAGAGACTCTAAAATTCTTCTTATTGAGGCTTAACAACTCAATACACTTTTGGAAGTTTTTAGGTCTTGGGCTATGGCATTTAGTCTTGGAAAATTTTCAGTCTTAAACCTCTCTAAGCTTCATTGTCTCCAAAAATTAAACTCACAAATTATTAAAAAATTGTTGAGATACAGTATTCTTTTCGTTAAGTTTTTGGCCTTGTATTAATAATTCTTTCATTTCTGATAATTTTAACTTATTCTCCTCTATAGCTGCTTGAGAATTCGTTAATGTTTGGTTTCCTTGATCAAGTGATTGCTGCACTTCTGATAGTTTTTCTTTTGTATCCTGCAAGGCATTGTGGACTTCTGATAGTCTTATATTATCTCCTTTGGAAACATCAGGGTTGTCAAAAATTGAGAAGTAGTGATTGTAAAGCATGCGCAATTTTTCAATATAATTTTTTAACGCATCAAAATAGTTATTATTGGACTTGAGATCAAAATTCTATTTAATATAGTATATCAGGGATCCAGCGTCATAAAAGAAAATTTGCGATAAGTAGTTACCCCCCCCAAATGTCCGACCTATTTTTCGGACATTTAGGTGGGGGAGGGGTCTGTCGGCAAAAATCAAAAGGTATAGGAGGTTTCAGTCGGCAAGATCAAGGGAAACCAAAGGGTGTGGGGCAATTACTCATCCCATTTGTCCGAGTTTGTCGGCATGATCAAAGGGAAACCAAGGGGTTTGGGGTAATTAATCATCCCACTTGTCCGAGTTGTCATTTTGATTGATTGACAGGTACAAGTGATTGATTGACAGGTACAAGTAAATCCCATTTGTCCGAGTCCCATTTGTCCGAGTCCCATTTGTCCGAGTTTGGCGGCGTGATCAAGGGAAACCAAAGGGTGTGGGGTACTTCCAGGTTCCCGGATTGCCAAATTTTGATTGATGGGTGACAGATTAATTTGATTGATTACAAGTACAAGGTACTTGTACCTTGTACTTGTACAAGGTACTTGTACCTTGTACAAGTACAAGATGCAGGTACAAGGTTCCAGTCTGGGACTGAAATATTTTGGGGTCCGGGATACGGTAAAATTAATAAAAATAAATTAAATAAAAAATAAATTAAATAAAAAATAAATTAAATAAATTTAATAAAAAATAGGGAGAGATAAAATTTACAAAATTTTACAAAAAAATTAAAATGATTTGCAAAAAAGGGTGGAAGTCAAAATGTAAGGGGGAGGTAACCAATTATTTCAAATTCTCAAGATCTTATCTAATTGATCGATGATTAATGAGTCTGGGACTGAAATTTTTGAGTCTGAGAAGTTCAGTCTGGGAATTTCAGTCTGGGACTGAAATATTTTAATTCTGGGGCTGAAATATTTGAGTCCGGGATTTCAGTCTGGGACTGAAATATTTTCAGTCTGGGGCTGAAATATTTGCGTTAGGAATTTCAGTCTGAAACTGAAAATTTGCTGGGGGCAGGGGTCCGGGGTACTGTAGAATTAAAAATAATAAAAATAAAAAATATTAATTAAATAAAATAATAAGGAAAAATAAAATTACAAAATTTTACAAAAAATTAAAATGATTTGCAAAAAAGGGCGGAAGTCAGAATGTAAGGGGTTTTTTCTCAAGATCTTATCTGATTGGTTGATGATTAATGAGTTTTTGAGGCATCAAATTTTGAAGCCGACAGAGTTTGGATAATTTAAAATGACCTTTAAGGTTACGAAATAAGGAAAAGTTTATTAAAAAATATTTTCTTTTTATCTCAAGATCTTTCTGATTGATTAATGATTAATGAGTTTTTGAGGCGATAAATTTTGAGCCGCCAAAAATATTCGGTAGCATATGACCTTCAATTTTATGAAATAAGGAAAAATGGAACCTAATTTAAATTTTTCTTTTTATCTCGAGATCTTATCTGACAGACGGATGATTAATGAGTTTTAAATGGAACAAATTTTACCAGTTCCGCATCACATGACCTTGACAAAAAATATTTCGCAATCGCCCATCCGTCTGAAAAGAGGAGTATAAAAGGCGAGGTTTTTTGTCATTCTTAACCATTTGCTTCAAAAAACGAAAAACCTCTCGACAATTAAAAAATTAAAAACCTTAAAATGGCATTTAATAACGGTCAAAACGCGCCTTCCTCCAACAAGCGCGCAAGATTCCTCATCCGCGATCTCCTTCCCCATTTATTCAATGACGAGCAAAACGGCGCGGGCGTAAATAACCCGAAAAATTATTATCGACAAATCGACTACGAAACAACATTTAATAGAAAATTCGCATTGATGGGGACATCTGGAAAGTTTATTATTGAAAAATTGCCGGAGAATCCGGAGGAACTACTGAGAAATATAATACACGACTGTATGACTAAGACAGTAGAAGCTTCAAGAAACCATTCAATTGAACCTGACCGATTAGGAGCTTTAATATCTTCACAATTATTAGACAACGACATTTGGATACCAATTAGAAGAATTGAAAATGATACTGTCGACAACATTCTTAATCGCTTCCAGCTTGTTTCCCAATCGAAGATAGAAAAGGGATCAATTCTTGGCCAACCTTTCACAGTGAAAATTCAAACACTTGGAATCTCCTCTCTTCCAAAAAATCAATCAATAAGAGGACGTGCGCCGCAAGACAACGGAACAGATGATGGCCAAATAAAAAGTGAATTATTGATTAAAATAGCTAATCCGAACAACTTATGCTTATTCTATGCCTTGGAAATTACTAGAAAATATGTTACTAAAGAATTGGGGGATAGGCGTAAATTTAATGCATATATGCAATACAGTCATCGACAGGTGAAAGATGTTTTGGACCTACTAAAAGCAGCAAAAATCCCTCATGATCTCCCTGAATATGACGCTGTGGAATATGTACCAATCATCGTCGATTTCTGGAACAATCAATATAAAGATGCAGGTTATAAATTCAGAGTATTTGTTTTTGGCAGGGACAATGAGAAACCTATATTTAAATATGGGGCTGAAAATTTCAATGTACAAGTTTCAATTCTTCACTCAAACAACCATTTTGACGGAATAAGAAATGTTGGAGGAATGTTTGGATTAAGAATGAAATATTGCTTCACCTGTGAAAAGAAATTCAGAAAATCAAAGGAACACGACATGAAATGTAAATCACGCTGCAATCTTTGTGGACGCGTTGGAAGTGAATACCCTTGTGTGGCATCAGGAAACTTTTACAAAAAATGTGATGAATGTGGGAAAAAATATCTGAATGAAGACTGCTTCAACCACCACAAAAAAAGCAGTAATTGTCGGCAAACAAAAATTTGTGAAAAATGTGGTGTTATATGGTCAATGAAAAATTACAAGAGAGAGGCTGAAAAGAAGCATGTTTGTGGCCAGAAGTGGTGTCAGATTTGTCGACAATTTCACAGCATGGATAGAGGATGCTTTATTCGCCCATTGGAACTGAAAAAAGGAGCTGATTATCGTCTGGTAACTTTCGATTTTGAGGCCACACAAAATGAAGTGACAAACAATGATAATGAAGAAAGGTGGGTCCACAAAGTAAACTTCATTGCCGCAACAGTAACCTGCACAAAATGTATGGAAAATGAACAATTATGGCGCTCGCCTCTGAGACAAAATGGAAACAGCTGTGCAATCTGCGGAAATAATAGATCAATCACATTTTCCCACCGCCCATTCAATCGAACAAAAGTCGATAAACAGATTGTCACAGAAAACCCGCTTAAATTCTTCATACAATGGATTCTTTTTGAACTCAACCCCCAATATACAACAATGGCATTTTCACACAATGGAGGACGTTATGATATGATTATGGTGTTCAAAGAAATATACATGAATGGTGTTGCTCCCTCAATAATTCGCCGTGGTAATAAACTTTATGAATTGAAAATTCCCCGCAACAACAAATGCAATGAGGTTATATTCCGGGACTCGTATAACCTTTGTCCAGTCGCCTTGGGGAAGCTGATTGGTGCATTTGGGCTACAAGTAACTGAAAAACAATTTTTCCCGCATTTGGCAAACATCTCCGAAAATTATGGTAGAACCCTACAACAACTACCACCAAAATCTGATTATTTATACGAAGGAATGAGTCCTGCCAAACAGAATGAATTTATTAAATGGTATGAAGAAGAAAAAGATAATCAGTTTTGTTTGGATGAAGCCTTGGCCGAATATTGCACAAACGATGTACAAATTCTTACAGAAGCACTGATCGCCTTTAGAAAAAAATTTTCCGAAATCAGCAAAAAGAAAAATACACAACCTGGGGCAGCAACAGAAGGAATCGATATTTTGAAGGATGCAATGACAATAGCATCGGCCTGTATGAAACATTTCCGCCTGAATCATCTTCAGCCTGACCATTTGGCAATTGTTCCGGAGAAAGGGTATGAAAACATTGATAACCAAAGTGAGCTTGCCCTGAAATATTTACAATGGTACGAAGAAACAAAAGGAGTGGAAATTCAAAGTGCACATTCAGAAGGTGGGGAATTTGTAGTGGCTGAAAGATATAAAGTTGATGGGTACATTGTGGCTGAAGATAGGGCAATTGAAGTGAATGGTTGTGTCTGGCATGCTTGCCAAAAATGTTTTGGTAATGAGTTGGACAAAATATTACCAAATGGAAAAACTGTGGGAGAGACACGTGAAGATGATGGGAAACGTCTGGAAATAATTAAAAAACATATAAAGAATGTTGATATAATATGGGAATGTGAAATACATCAAATGCTGCGTCACAACAAAAAGATGAGGAAATCTTTTTCAAACTACCACAACAAAGGGCCAATCAATATTAGAGACTGTTATTTTGGTGGAAGGACTGGGCCCCTACACATGCACTTTGACGCAGAAAAAGAACAACACAAAATTGCCTACTTAGACTTTAATTCACTTTACCCCTCAACAATTGCTACAACATCATTTCCGGTTGGGCATCCGAAAGTGCATGTTGTACCGCTAGCTGAACAAAAAGTTTATTGGACAAGAAGTGACCAGATTCCATTCAAAGGAATTTTGAAAGTATTTTTGCTACCCCCACCTCAACTAGACGTTCCTGTAATTCCAGTCAAGTTTGATGATAGACTTCTATTCCCATTATGTAGAAAATGCTCACTCGCTTACCCAAATGGTGCAAACATCAGAGATTACCGCTGCCCACACAATGACGAAGAGAGAGGGTGGGTCTCAACAGTTACATCTATTGAATTGGAAGAAGCATTAAAAGTTGGATACACAGTTACAAGATTTTATAGAGCGCTGCATTATGAGAAATGGGATGAAAATTTATTCAAAAATTATGTGGCCGAATTTATGGCAATGAAAATTCATGCTAGTGGTTTCCCTGAGGGCATAGAAGGAAAAGAAAATGAGGAAAAGTTTATAAAAGAATGCAAAGAAAAATTTGGTATTGAGCTTCAAAGAGAAAAAATGGTTCCGGATCAGGCCATGCGATACATT